TTGTTTCTCCCCACCGGGGGTTGGGTCTGGACACCAACTTCATGTAAATGTCTAACTAAATACCATCAAACCCAGGCCAGCAGCCTCTGCCTGGCGTGGCCCGTCCTCAGATGTGCAATCCATACATTTTATTCATCATTTACAGAAGGCTCTATGAGAAGCATAAAAAGAGAAGAAAGAAAGAAACTGCAATAGAGGAAGAGAGGAAAAGGTAAGTCAAATACGGGAAAAAAACAGAAAGCAAGGAAAATTACAATACTGGAAGCAGGATGTGAATGCAGAGTGAAATTAGGATAAACGGCCAACCACAAGTACGAAATACTACACAGGCTTCAAAATGCCGCTGTACAAGATTGCTAGAGACGTAGAAAACTGTCAATCTTTTAAAAGTATTAGCACTTTTACATAAATGTGATGTCCCAACTAATGGGTCTTTCATTGCTTCCCTAAGTCAACATCAAGCACTTTACGTACATTTTCCATTTCCTTGTTATACCCCAGTATTTCTAGCTGAAATTCTTTTTGACAACTTTGCCTTCAAAATCAGGAAGTTTCTCCATTTTTCACTTGTTCAATTTTCAAAGAAGCCTACATCTTCGGTTATGCTTTTTCACACACTTGGGTAAAGCTCCCACCTTGGGCATATTTTGTTCTCAAAATCCCATCGTTTCTTGACAAAGACAATGCAGCAAAAATAGCTTTGACCACTACAATGCTGACCAGTATCATCTCATTGTCTGCTTGCACTCTGCCATCTACCTGCATCTAACTGCCGTCTTTTGTTACGTACTTAGGACATGTGCTCTTTGTTCCGGTTGTACAGCATCTTGCAAAATGGCATCCTAGCCTGTGACTGGGGCTCCGGTGCACTAAGATGATACAGGTAATAAAACACCAGTGTTTTGTTTACTGTTGCTGCGCTGCACGTGAGCCGCACAGTACCTGTAAGCTTTTGAGCGCAAAAGCACTGCACAGCGCAGGGGTACGAGGTAACACCGCTCTCTCCTGCTTCTCTACCCGTACCCATCGTTCTCCTCCCGCCTCAGGCTAATGGGCCGGTTTAGCCCACGCTTTCCAAGCAGAACCTCATGTTTAGTTTTTTCCCCTTGTTTCTCTCTCGCTGTAAAGCACGGCCTGGAGCAATATCTTTAGGAAGGAGAACAAGGCAATCTAGACGCTACAGCGAGCAATACCCTGAGACACACACCAGCAGTTCCCCGGGGCTGAGCCGTGCAGGCCGCTGTACACCGCTCCATCTCCCGGGCAGCCCAGAAAATGGATGAAGAGTTTGCTGAAACTCAGCGGAAAGGTCAGCGTCTGCCAGGAATGGGTACAGTACCCTGACCCAGGAATAACGTCTGAATCTACAAGATGTTATTTTCATGACAGGGTTTTGCTGAGAAGAAAAGGGAATAAATGGTAATATACCACTTTCAGAGATTTCCATAGTGGTTTGCCAACAAGTAGCAATGCTTATGCAAAAGAGTAAAGCACTGTGGTTTAAGTTGGGGGTTTGGGTTGGTTTTTTTGGTGTTTTTTTTTTTGTTCTGGAATGTGCCATGTTTTGTAATTCAATACATTCTCAACACAAAGTAAGGTCCCCCGATTCATTGCTTCAGACTATAGATACAGTATATATTTTTAGAATGATAAATTACTGCGATTTTAGAAACTGTGCTATTGTACAATTGGTGACCTCTTAATGCTTGCTACTGTTCAGATTCCATTGCAACATTTGGATGTGAAAATCTAGATAAAATGAGTCCAGATATGCTATTCTGTAAAAATGGTTCAGTCTATCCAGAGCTTATGCTACTCTATAAAAATGGTTCGGTCTATCCACAGCTTTTGAGAACTCTAGGGTAATCTGGAGTCTTAAACCTGCATTAAACCGGCCTCATTTTATCAGTCCTTCATATTTATTTCATTAAAAAAAATTAATACCTGGCCCATTTGCTCCTAGTGTTTCATCAGTCAGGAGGTTGTCCTGTTTCTTCACCAGAAGTTTTATCTGAAATGGGAAAGAAAAAGAGAAGGAGAGCAAAAGGCAGCTATTAAATAAATTCTCAACTATTGTTTTCATTTTTTCAATACAGGAAAAATCTTACAATATTAAAAGTTATTACTATATCATATTGACTAAATTACAAAAGTTCTGAAAATTGTGAGTTGATCACCTTTAAACTTTTCTACTTGAGGGCAACCTTTTGTACCTCCAAATAACGCAAAACTACATAATATCTAATGAACTAAATAACCCTTAAAGAATATATTCTTAAATTAAATAATATTTAAAAGAATATATCCTATTCCTCAGGAAAATGTGTTGATGAGCTTACTGGCCACATAAATTATTCCTTTCCGAGCTTTTTGGTCCAAGTGTGATAGCTTGTTATAATTCCAGAAAATCAGAGAGAGAGAGAGAGATGATAAAATTCCCGGGCATCTGGCATTGTCGCTGAGATCTGAAGATGGAAAATGAGAATATTGAAAGCAATCCTAACACGAAGCCTCTCAGGATGATGTGGTACATATGTGAGATTTCATGCTGGTCTTTCACATAGAACTCAGAGAATTGATTTACTGTCTCGTTCAACAGGAATTAAACAAACACGTCAGCAGACTACCAACGCTCATGCTGTAAACAGCATCTCCTGCTGTTAATACAGGTGGAGAGGGGTTGCTCTGCGCAATTTATGGTCTCCATGCAGTAAAATATTGAAAGACTACAGCATCTGCTGTAAATTCCCGGTGAAATGCAAGCATAAGTCTGTTTATCATTAAATGTGATTTACCGCAGTTACGCTCTCTCTCTCCCCAGCCCCCCTGTATTTTTTTATTTCTTTAAATTATTATTATTTTTAAATACGCTTTTCATCACAGAGCATCACTGTGCGGGTTGCTCGGGGCTTGCTAGGGGCGGGTCGTAACCCTCGGCTGTTTCGGGGAAGGAATTGTCGATTAGCTGAATTGCGCCCGTATGGAAGCGCCCACCTTTGCGTATCCCCGACTTCCCAGGAGGACCTTTTCCCTGCGCCCCCGTCGGAAAGCTCGCGGTGGATTACCTGGTTTTCCTGCGTCTGCCGGTGGTTTTTTGAGTATCGTGGCCTAAACGTGCGTGCTTGGGGAATGGAGGCTTTTTATAAAGCCAACAGGAGTGCACTTGTAGCTGTTGCGTGCTAACCAGAGAGAATATTGCTAAAGAATCCTTTGTTATGGTTATCATACCTACTGGTTAAGCCCCTCAGCAAGGGAAGTTTTAAGTGGCAATAAAAGTTGCAATCCTATCAGAAGCAGCAATTACATTCTAGGTACCCGTCAAATCAGTGCTGAATATGACTTGCAACAAACGTTACATGTTTGAAATTATAAGTGCGAGGTTGGGTCCAATTACTTGACAAAAAAGATTCATCTTTATTTCTAGAGTTGATGTCCTAGACTTCTGAAAGCCAGAATGAATCTTGAAAGGACTTCTCATGACTTCAGTTTTGAATACTAGTTGATTATTTTATTTTTGTTTTTTAACCAAGGAAATCAGTGAAGTAAATGCGCTGAGAGGAATTGTATCTGTCACGTATACTGTGGTTTCCAGTTTTAACAATGACATTGTGTTTCTATTATTGATAGATGTGTACAGATAGGTAATATTCAGCAAAATAATACTGCTGAAATAATGAATTCAAAATCTTTAAAAGAGCATGAGTAAAGCCTCTTTAACCTCCAGTCAGTTTGCTAGGCAAAATCAGTTAAAAATTATGTTTTGTTTCACTGGAAACTCAGCTGGATAAAAGCACTAAAATTAAAAAACAGAAAAAGTGTGGCAAAAATAAATAGTCCTGAGAAACCAATATTATCATTGCCTTCTTTTTTCCCTTGCTTGAATATTTCATATTTTTTTAATATTTTAGCAACAAAATGTCTTTTTTGTTGTTGTTGTTTGGGTTTTTTTGTTTCCACTCTCTCCCCCACAGTGATCTGGTATGCAGAGCTTTAGTTGATATGTTTATTTTTGTTTCTCTCCTTAAACTCTGAAACAATGTGTAGCTGAGTAGGTTTATAGGTTTCTTTTCCCTGTAAGGTTTAAATGGGTTGCATTTTCACATTTGCAAAGTCCAGGATTTACACATGGCATGAGATAAATACAGGTTGAGGTTTTAGGCCCTAATTCTGAAATTAGATTTGAGCTAGTAAGTAGACCTTTGTGTCTATGGAGGGAATCATTAGGGTGCCAAGGAGACAAAAAAGGCCATTTGGGTGGATTTTTTTTTTTTTTTTTAAAGGAGCTGGAGTCCAAGAGACCAAAGTGGGGCCTTGCTAAAACATTTGCTGGTACTACCTATGCAACAAAATGTTTTTCATCAATGTTCATCAGAATAACTATACTATGGTGGTTTGATGACACTGTGAGTGCTTTTTTTTTTTTTTTTTTGTCTTCCATTTTGAAGATTAATGTTAGATTAAGTTGATGCCTTAGCGTGGTTCTTAGTGTGCGATGGTTCTTTCTTCAAAATTTTTACTGCATGTTTTAACTGATGAGAGCTTTGTCTGTAAGACAGTGTACTGTTTTTTTTAGTTCAGAGAAATGTGTTTCTTTGTGGTGGATGGTTTAATGTCTGCTTCTATGTCGTTAAAATTCACTAAATGTGACCAGATTTGCAGATGGAAAAACAGGCAATCATAGTCAAGTTTAGTCGTTTTGAAGACCACTGGAAATTAGGTGCAAAGTTGATTAAAACAGTTGTATTATTTTTATACTAATCATGTACAATTAACTTCACAGAAATATTTTCAGGTGCAGGGTAGGGTTTGTAGGTGTTTTCACCATTGAATAATTTCTTCTGTCTGAAAGAATTATCTTTTATGCCAGAGGCTAGACATGGATTATGATCTTTAACAACTGGTGGAATTGTTAAGATTAGTGGAAATAATTCTTATGTCTTCTTGATTATTTTTTAATATACTTCTAGACTGAATTTTCAAAGCAGATTGTATCATGGAGTTAAATTAATTTTGTTCATGGCGGTATCTCTGTGAATGGTTAAAGTGGGTTGTGCATGGATGGGAGATGTCCAAGAGAAATCCTGGATGCTACAGGGAATGGTGTAACTGATTCCTGAGGTGGCATGTTTTTCTTTGGGTTAGCACTAAAGGAGTGCCCCAGTGTGGTGCCAGTTAGATGTGCCGTGAGTCAGATGTAAAACTAAGCTCCTATCTGCCAGTTGGAAATCCCTGTACTTTTTGCTGTAGAACTGTTGCCAAACTTTAATTTGGTAATGTCACTGAGGATCTAAACTCTCCCTGTAGACATGGCTTTCTTACTTTCTAACCTAAATTGTTCTGTGTTGTTGCTTGGGTACTGAGAAATTACTACATTCCTCTTGATGGGAGACTGTACTGAATACAGTAATTTTCTATATGTGACCTTTAAAACATTTTGAAATCTTTCTAGATGAAAGATGTTGTATAAACGTAAGGAACCTAGAGCTGTAATAATCATTCCTTACTTGGACAAATCTGCTGAAGTTCATTAGAAACTTAAGTAAGGAATGCTGAATAGAACCCAAACATACTGTGTTATAGAGGGAACTGGTAACGAACTCTATATTTAGGTTGCCTAATAGTTTCCATTATAAAGAATTTGTATGATCTCTTTGAGAAGCTCTATTGTTTGCAAAAGCCATTGACATTTGGCAAGAGGAAGAGTCCTTAGGCTAAATGAGTGGTTTGATTTCCTTGCCCCATGAAATTGTTAAAGTTTTGCTGAGGCATAAACACTTGAAAATCATCATTCCCCCTCTGTCACTCGTCTTCTATGGGAAAGTAAAGTAATTGCTTAGAACACTGAAAAAGCCTGGACTGACATCACTGTAAAAGCAACAGTGGCAATGATATTATGCTGAAGACTCTGAACAGAATTGTTTGGCTCCTGGGGAGGTTATAGTGGGGTTGCTGAATTTGATCTGACTCACAATTGCTGCTTTGCCAAAAGGAAATTGCTTCCTTGGGCACACTACCATTTCTTTTCTTTCTTTCCTTCTGCTCTTCATGACATTATTAGAATTGGGAGTACACACACCAATACTGGTTGATCTTCAAGAATTGGGCTGGATCCTTGGACAGACCTTGCTGCAGCAAGTATTTGCTCCCAGTTTGTCTGTCCGTCAATAGATGTTTGGTTTGTAGGGTTGTCTTTTTTTTTTCTTGCCAGCTAACACAGTTAGTCATTGTAATTTAGACACGTTGTAAAGCTGCAGTTTCAGAGTTTCAGTCTTGCTGGGAAGAAATATGCAAGAGGACTAGCATTCTCTCTAAAGGGGTGTACATTTGCTACTTTCTTCTGTCTTCTAGGAGGCTGCATTACTGCTCCATCACCTCTCTGCTCCATCTTCCTCAGAGTATATTAACGCTCTTGTTATTCACTTAGTGACAGCATCCAGATTTAAAAGTACCTGTCACTTTGCTTCTCTTCATGTGGTTTTTATGCATGCATATTGTAGTCTGGTCTCTAGTTGCAGGATCCCATTTTTTTTTTCCATGCTCTGACAAATCGCTTCTCCATTCAGTGTGAAGGATGAGCATCCAGGGGAGTATAGTGAGAGCTACAGGAGGAACTTAAAATCCAGCTTTTTAAACTTTGAAATACTTGGTGTAATATCCTGCTGTGTAAATAAGAGGGGGAAAAAAGGGGGGCAGGGGTACGTGATCCATTTCTCCTATCCAGAGTCGATAGCATTCTGTGGTTTTCAATTAGGAAAAGGGGCAGAATTCCAAAGGATATTTTCACTAGTAGTATTCTCTTCACTAATAATAGGAAAAGGATTGTTGTACAAAGTTGTAACTACTGTATGCTTGTTATGGTTTTATTTCATTTTATTTTTTAGAACTACTTTTATTGTCTTCTTTGAATTCAATAAAAACTTAACCTTACCTATGAATCTATGAGACTTAGTGCACACTGTTCAAGCCCAAAGTATTTTTCTTTCTGCAGGGGATAAGAAGGAGTGAGGATAAGGAGATAAAACAAGTATCAGTGACTTCTGTGAAGTTGTGGTTTTTTTTTTTTTTATTCCTCTCTGATACACTTGTTGAGTGAGCTGTTATATGCAGTATCATTTGCATAAAATAGCCGCTGAGATTTGTAGCCAGAATGAGAAAATCATCTCAAGTCAGGATTAATTTCTGTGGATTTGGGATGTATACCTCTTAATGTCCTGTACTGCTGAAGTAGAGACATATATAACCATCTGCATGGGGGCATGGCTTCCATGTCCTATGCTCTATTGATCTCCATTACTGAATCGTTCCTTTTCTCCCAACCTAAGGTATGAAAAGCCAACTTTAAATCATACCAGACAGAAGAGACTGAGGTATGAGGAACTGGGAAGCCATCTTTCTGTGTCTGGTTGATATTTGGTCTGTGCTCCTTGATTGTGGCCAAGAGTGTGGCCATTCAATATGTGCATGTATTTTATAAGCATGTCTGACAATTTCCTAAATATGAGATACAGGTCTCTACTTGAAGCTGTCATGGGTTTGTTTTATGCTTTGAGAAGCATAAATAAAATGTTTAATTTTTTTAACTTGGATATCAAGGTCATTTTTCTTCAGAAAATATGTGCAATTTGTTTAGTCATGTACCATCTGGATGTTTATAAGCACAAATCAGTTACATTTAACCAAATCTGGTATTCGTATTTCTGTGGAAATGCAGTACTGCTCAGGACAGAGAGTTGGTACTTATCTTGTATATCTGGTTTAACATGTCTGTTTTACAACAGCTTGTTAAGGACTCTGTCTTCTGCTTTCCAGTATGCAGCCTCTGTGTGCGCATATGCGCATGCGTGTGTCAGGGGGAAGGTTGTGAAGGAGAAAAAGAGGAAGAACTGCCTGTCATGCTGATTTTACAAATACATGACTGAATCAAGCTTAACAGACTGAAGAGCTGTTCGTAACTTGTGGTAGTTTGGAGAAGGAAGTATTTGCAGGAATAAAGTGAGTGGAAAAGTCATATATAATCCATATTTTATCAAGCTCTGTATGACAAGTTTTATGTTTTAGCTTAAATATTAAATTATGAAGGGGAGCGTGAATAAATAGTTCTCTTTTGCTCTGTA